AACTGGGGTGGCCCAAGCTCGATGGCTATTAGCCACAATAGATCCAAACTCTTAAAAATATTTTGTTATATGATAAAAAAAATCACGTTCTAACATAATTTTTAAGGACAATATATTTATCATATTATATGAGATAAATTATCTCATATAAAATATAAAATAGTAGATAAAATATATTTTTTTCTTTCTCTTCTCCTTACTAGATTTCACTTATTTTTTTATATGTTATACGATATAATTTATTTCAGGTAATATGAAAAATTTCTAATTTTTAAAAGATAAACCATTAGATGAAATCATGAAAGAACTACACACTTAGTTAACGCTATGCAATATAATTTAACTGAATTGATCTCAATTGTATATTTCTAACCCGATTAAAAGAACCCGTTCGAAATGGATCAAGAATGAGTTTGCATGAAAAGCTTTCAGAGTGTGCATGACAACCATTTTATTCTCTATTACTGTCTCTGAAAAGAAATAATTTTTTTCTATTCCTGTGCCTTGGAATAGTTTCTGAGAAAAAAAAAGTGTTTGATAACATATTATATTTTTATTCCGAGAATAAGAATTGTGTTTGATAACACAATAAATAATATAATAAAAAATAATTTCTATTAAATATAAAAAAATTTCGGATCATCACTTTTCTTTCCATATGATGTGGTTGTGGTGGTGGTGGCGGTGGTACGCTAGTGGTGGTGGCGGCGGTACGGTAGTGGTGGCAGCAATGACGTGGTGATGATAGTGGTGGTGGTTGTGACGGCAGTAGCTGCAGCGATGACAGTGATAATGGAGGTGGTAGTGGTGGAGGTGACGACAGTGACTGCGACAATGGTTGGTGGCAGTTGTGGTTGGTGGCGGCGACAATTGTAGCGGTGGCATCGTGGTGGTGGTTGGTGAGAATGGTGGTGATGATAGCGTTGGCGTCGTGGTGGTGGCAATGGTGGTGGTGGCGATAGTGGCGGTGGCGGTGACGGCAGTGGTTGCGATGATGGTAGTGGTGGTTGATGGCGGTAGTAGTGATGATGGTGGTGACAATGACAGTAATAGTGGTGGTGGGGTGGCATGGTGGTAATGATGGGTGGAGGTGGTGGCGGTGGCATCGTGGTGGTGGGGGTGGTGACGACGGCACTAGTGGTACGGCGGCGACGACGACGATTGTCGTATCGAGATGATGGTGGTGGTGGTGGTGATGATGGTGGTAGTGGTGATGATGGTAGAGGTGAAAATTGATTGAGAGAGATAAGTGTTTTTCATTTTGTGTCCGAAAACAAAAAAACAAAAATTTTCTGATTCTTTTTTCTGTTCCCCAGCACAAAAATTAAACCGGTTCATCCGGGAACAAAAAAATAAACCGATTTTATCAAACGAGTTTTTTATCCATTTCTATTTCCGAAAATATAAATTAAAAAAATAATAATTCCGGGAAGATTGTCGTGCATACCCTGACTAATTCAGAATCAGCTATAAATCATAAATTGATCTTGAAATATAAATTTGTTCTAAATTAATTCCGAACCAACTCGAAAAAATAAATTCAGTTCAAATATAATAAAGCAATTGGATTCTTTGAAACGAATTAATTCAATTTGATTAAAAAAATCTGGTTTGGATCAAATCATGTTCATCCTGAAACTCCGGTGTTTTTTTTAAAAGTGTTTAATAACTACGAATAGAAACACTTCGATTCATAATGAGAATAGAAACAGTTATTATCACTTCAAAACTATAAGTAGAAGAAGGAAAATATAATTATGTTCACTACCCTCACCATTTCGTGGTACATCAGCCTCCACTAGGAATTTATCAGCTACTTTTATCAAATTTGATGGGAGTTTCTTTATTATACTTTTAAATGATATCTTTGACATATTTTAATTGTAACCTTTTCAAAAATAAAATAGTTCAAAATGCACTAAATATTTATCTATTACGTTAAAAACTTATAATTATGGATATTTAAGCAATGTACGGATAAGATAACTAATTTTGTTATTAATGCATGGTTGGTTGCACAATATTGTTTTAAGTTGTGGAATACCAGTTTATTTTTGCGGCAAACAGTTTATACCAATTTTTTAGGGAGCGTTTGGTTGAGTAGAAATTTTTTGAATACTAGGAAAATATAATTGATAAGAAAATGGTTGGAAAGTGAGTTTGGTAGGAAAATGTAAAAAAAGTTATTTAGTTGGAAAAAATTTTACCGGACAAATTCGGTAAGATTTATAAAGTCTATGTTTGGTTTGAGGTAAAATATAGATGGAGAAATAAGTGACAATTACGAAAAATATCCTTATTTTTAAAAAAAATTGAAAAATAAAAAAATTGTGTGTACCACACTATAAGCCAACAAATAAACCCAATTTTGATCACAAAATAAGTCCTCTTTTTTCCATGTTCTTCTGTTGGAATCTAACTTCAATCTAATTTTCGGAAAAAGAAATTGGCAAAAGAAGAAGTATACATACAGATAAAGGAGCAAGACAATGGGGCATTTATCATCGAAAGCAACCCATTAGTATGTGGATAAGGGCAGTTTTTTGGTTGTCTTTTATTCACTTAGCAATCTAACTCACAATACCACGTTTAAAGTGGTTTTATTGAACAGTTACTTTCCTTCCATTTTACACACAAATATTAAAGTTTAGAGAAATGTGTTTCCTATCAAAATTTTGTAAAATTGTGAACCAAACATAGAAAACAAAGAAATCCTATCTATAATGCCTAGGTATCTTCTAAAAAAACCTCAACCAAACACCAGGTGAAAAAATTAGAATAAAAACTTTTTAAAATTATTTTAAAGTGAGACACTTGAAAGTAAAGTATAATTAGTTTACATTTTATCCTTTAACTTTTAGTTATTCTTAAAATATATAAAATATTAGTAAGTGACGGAAAATTTTGAAAATATATTTTTTTTATTCTTTTTTCACTCTACTACTCATTTTCTACTTTTTCTAAATTGTTCTTATTCTATTCTTGGACCGCCATTGTGCATATACATTATGCTTATTTCAAACTTTATAAAATTATAGGATAAGATTGGCAGAATATTTTCATTTCAAAAAAGAGAAAGTGTAGGTCCCACCGGGAGTCGAACCCAGGTCGCTGGATTCAAAGTCCAGAGTGCTAACCACTACACCATGGAACCCCCATTGCTGCAAGCCTGCAAGTTTATATTAGTTTTATAAATCTATTTTTGTATTCATATATTCGCAGAAATAATTTGATTTTTCTACTCAGATATCAAAACAAGTATGAAAGAACATAAATAAAAATACATAAAATAATTTTATTATACATTAAACTACTAACAATTTTATTAACAATTAATCTTAAACACACGTACATAACTAGGCAGTAGGCACACACATTTTAATATTCTTTTGTTTTTATAAATTTTATGATAAAATATAATCTTACATATTATTAGAAAACAATTAGAAAATGTTCATAAGATAATTATTTAATGACTAATTTATTTTTTATAATTGTATGAATATATTTATATTTATTTCATGTAGCTCCCTCATCAGCTGCTGCCTTCTGCAATATATACCCTAGTATCTTAATTAGATTCGGATGGCATATTCACACAATTTTTCTTCGTTATCTGTTTTTAGTAACTTACCCGAACAAGACAACTCAATACATAAAAAATGGAAAAGAAACGTCCCGAGTTATTTATCCAATTCATAAATAAAAAATAGCCAAAAATCTCTCTCAAAAAACGGTCCAATAAATCATTGACGGCAGAAACACAAAGTTGTTTCACAACATTAGATTTCAGACAATTGTGCCACATAATTAGACATGGAACACAATCCAATAATGCAACATCTTATGTTGCAAGCCACCTATCTCTCTCTCGTTTGACGATGATGTTGTACAAGATAAATTTATTTTCCATATAAAAATACCTGAAGTTTTTTTCTCTCTATTAATCACATGGTTCTCATATGATTTTATGTATTTAAGTGATAATTTTATCTCTTATAATATAAAATGAGATAAGATATATGATCAGGATGATTTTATATTGGTATAAGTTATATTTTTAATCTTGGCTATTGATTTTATTTATATGTAACAATTTTAATTTATTAGATATTTGTGCAGTTAGATGAAAATTAATCAAAGACCAAGATATAAGACTTCTTATTCTTACACCGGTGTAAGAATAAAATTTTATACACTTAATCTTGGCTGTTGATAATTGATTTGTTTCTATTTAATGACTCAAATATCTAATAAATTAAAACGTTAGATATAAATAACATCAACAGTCAAAATTAATATTATAATTTATACTGGTATAAAATGATATATATATATATATATATATATATATATATATATATATATATGATCTTTTGATATTGGTATCAAACTATAAAATTTAACACCAAATCGTAACTATTGATTTCCGTAAATCAACGGTTATCATTTATTCGGAATTAAATAACTAATTAATAAGTTTGATTGGCAGAAATTATAACCGTTGATTGGTGAAAATCAATAGTTAGAGTTTAGTGTCAAATTTTAAAATTTAATACTGCTATAAAATTTAATATATATAAGGAAGGTTATATTTACAAATTTTTTATTTACAAAATCTTACAAACTACACTATGTCTGACCGATAATATAATATTGAGTAAAGTATTACCAGTCAAAACATATGTAGTTTGTAAAAAAATAAATTATATGAAAATAATCCTTATATATATATATATATATATATATATATATATATATATAAGAGCAATAAAGATGGTAGCTGGTAGGCTATTATGCATCCCAGTCAAACCCACAAGTCTTGACCAAAATTAGTTTTCCACGGTCAAACATATCCTCAGCTTCTAAGAAGTTGCTTCCAAGACTTTTGCTAGTCATTGAAAAGCCTTTACCATAAAATCATGCATCAATTCCCTCCTCTTCTTTTCTCTATATATCACTATTGATTAGTCTTGTCTCCTCCCAGAACATCAAGGCTTCCCCATCTCTCAATATATATTCAAACCCAAAGCTTATCTTCTTTGCCACCCCAATTCATGAGGACATCTTTCACTGACCTTCTTTCCAACCATAACAACAGCAACAACAACAGTAACATGACCATGGATGATGATTACTGGGAAACTAGTGAACTTAAAACTGATCATCAAGTTGGACTTGATGTTGTTCCCAAATTCAAGTCTGTTCAACCTCCCTCACTGCCCCTCTCTCCCTCACCAATTTCCCCTTCTTCTTACTTTGCTTTTACTTCTGCTCTCAGCCCAACTGAGTTCTTGAACTCTTCTTTGTTTCTTTCTTCTCCAAATGTAAGTTACAAACCATTTCATCAATCATCTTTTTGCAAATTTACAAGTATAGTTTTATATTTTGGGCCATCTCTAATTGTGGGGTTTTTCCTTTGTTGTTATATGTGGTTTTAGATTTTTGCATCTCCTACTACTGAGGCTTTTGCTGGCCAGTGCTTGAACTGGAGGAACAGTTCAGGTGAAGACCAACAACATGACAAGGAGTATGAGAAAAACTACTCTGACTTCTCTTTCCAAACCCAAACAAAGCCTGCATCTGTCCTTCAATCTTCTACAAGCATGTTTGAAGTGGTAAGCACTATTTTTTTTTTTTCCTTTTTAAATGACCATTTGACTTGAACAAATATAATTTTGTTTGTGTCTTCTAGGTTATTTAGTTTATCATTAAGGATACTAAGAGGCCGGTTGTTGTTCTCTCTGCTGTTCTTGACATACTTGGACATGTTTCTTTTTGTTAGCCTTTGCTTTTTATGGATTGTGGGGTCAGTTCATTTCTTGTTTTTAATGACCCTTGGAATTGTCTTCTTCTTTTTTTTTTTGTTCTCTTTTTGCTTTATTTTTGTTGGTAAAACGATGTCAAAACTTGACTAGCATATTCTAAGTTGAAAAAGTCTAACTTCTAAAGCATGTCAATGTATGTTTTTTATGTTTTAACAAACAATAAACTTCATTATAATGATTATCAAACTGCATAATCACAGTAAACAAGTTGTATCATGTCTTATATTTTGATTTGTATTCTAAATACTTGTTCTACTACTTTGAACAGCAGGAACCACTTAAGAAACAAGACATATGGAAATTCAATGAACCTAAGAAGCAAACTGATTTTTCATCTGAGAGGACAGCTACAAAATCTGAATACCCTTCAACTCACAGCTTTTCCTCAGAAATGGCATCAAGCAAACCAGAAATACAAAGTAATTCAGTTACTGGGTCTGGTTATTTTAACTACACTAATGCATCTCAGTCTGTTAGAGAACAGAAGAGAACAGAAGATGGGTACAATTGGAGAAAATATGGACAGAAACAAGTGAAAGGAAGTGAAAATCCACGCAGTTATTACAAGTGCACACATCAAAATTGCTCAATGAAGAAGAAAGTTGAAAGGTCTTTGGATGGACAAATTACTGAAATAGTATATAAAGGCAGTCATAACCATCCCAAACCCCAGTCTACTAGAAGAACTAGCTCTCAACCAATTCATCAACCTTCTTCATCCTGCACCAACTCAGGGATTTCTGATCAATCAGTGGTGACCCTAGGCAATCCACAAATGGAGCCTGTCTCCATACAAGAAGATTCTTCAGCCTCAGTGGGAGAGGAAAGCTTTGAGCAAACATCACAAACCAGTTATTCTGGAGGAGATGAAGATGACCTTGGACCTGAGGCCAAAAGATGGTAAGATCATCAAATTACAGTCTAATGACTTGATTCATAATCTTAAAATGAAATTGCATATTGCACTTGGTTTAAATATAACCAATTCTGATTCTCATTGTTGCAGGAAGGGAGAGAATGGAAATGATGGCTATTCTATCTCAGGGAGTAGAACTGTTAGGGAACCTAGAGTTGTTGTTCAAACCACAAGCGAAATTGATATACTTGATGATGGCTTTAGGTGGAGAAAATATGGACAGAAAGTAGTTAAAGGAAATCCAAATGCAAGGTATTTAAAAGACCCTTTTAGTTAATGGTTCTAAAGTGTTACAATTCAATTCATATTGTTACCAACTCCATATTTTTACTCACTTGTTCAAAATATTCCATATCTACAGAAGCTATTACAAATGCACAGCCCCTGGTTGTTCAGTGAGGAAACATGTTGAGCGAGCTGCACATGATATCAAAGCTGTAATCACAACTTATGAAGGGAAACACAACCATGATATACCTGCAGCACGTGGGAGTGCAAGTTATAACATGAACAGAATTTCTCTGAATAGCAACACTAGCAATGTACCAGCACCTATAAGGCCTTCAGCGGTGAACCATTATTCTAGCACATCAAGTTTCACAAACTCACTTTACAATGGCATGCTTCCAACAACTGGAAGTCAAGAATCATTTCCATTGGACATGTTGCAGAGCCCTGGAAGTTTTGGTTATTCTGCTCTTGGTAGATCAATGGGTTCATATACCAATCATGAACAATAATCTGATGCTGCATACCCAAAGGGGTAAGGATGACAGAAAGGATGACTCATTCCTCAAGTCATTTCTGTCAAAAGGACTTCTAAATTTGGGACCACAACTTTACATGTTATATTGGATATGTTGTTGTATAGCATTTAGGATTTTAGTTATTCATATCAGAATAGAAACAAAGAACCATGACTGGCACTACAGTCCTAGTGATTGCAAATAGCTGTAATACCGGTTTGTCAAGTCCATCTCCAAAAAAGAAACAAAAAAAGAAGAGAGAGAGACAGAGAGAAGAAGACTATGACTATCTAAAGCTTGACAAGAAGATGGTCTTATTTGAACTTCAATTTTATATTAGGAGATACAAAAAAATGAGTTGACCGATGAATACTATTATTCTTTTGTTGTATTTGTAGGAAAAAGGATTCTGTGGAAGAGTTTTACCATAGTCAATTAATTGGTAACGTGTGCTTTTGCTGAATATTTCTACTGTTCAGTACTTTCTGCATTTAGTATTCATCAGATGATTTGTGATGAATTCCATCATTTTCCCCAAAATCATCACTTGGATTTGGATAAATTTTCAATTCGTAGTCCTTAAACATATGCAAATTTTGAAGATGACAAAATGGTACGTGACTTCTCATTTAATTAGAAAAGAAAACATAGTTCAGAAAGTTTAGACGACTGAGAAATTTACAAAGAAAAAAAGTCACATGGTCTTAAGGTTGAAAGTTGAAACCTCTAGGATTTGAACAAAGTCAAGATTTATTTTTTATATGATGTACATTTAGTCATCAGATTGTGAAAAAAAAAAAGCAATTAAGTTCTGACTTCTGCTACTTGCATCTGGCAGTTACTGTAATGCATTCACCACATTACTTTTTTTTTCCCTGCCAAATTGATCAATAAATAGTCTCAAATAGAAAAAAATTATACATTTGTTGTATTCGTGTATGAAATCAGTGTCACATCTTAATGTAACATATGCACAGGGCCAGAGAGGAGGGTGAGCGAAATTCCTGGTTCCCTTACTCAACATAAAAATACAGGCATGTGTGAAAGTAAATTACACAGTATGAAACAATAATAAGGAGAATTTTGTGGCAGTTTAGATATAAGGTTGAATTGATAGTTTGTAGCCTGAAATGAGAGCTGACACTGCTAGACACAAGAATGCAAATATAGACATGCTAATGGCTGCAGCTGAAGAGTCTGTAAAAATATTGTCTGCCCCTTCCCTCATTCTATTTGTCATTGGAACTGCTGAAGATGCTGATGATATCAAAAGATATGCAATTATCTGCAACCAAAAAACATTGCCAATCAATCTCAACTCAAGTAAGTTGCTACCATTTCATGGTCCTTCAAAAGCAAACATAACATGATTGAAAGCCAGTCATAAAGGTTTTGAATAAAAAAAGAAGTATAAAACTTTGAATTATTCAAAATAAAGCGCCTCTACCAACCCACAGATCATCTGAGTTGTATGGCGGTCCTATCAATAAGACTGATCAACATTTCTAAAACAACAAATTAAGGCCAACAAAACTTTTCCCCCTCGTTATTGTATTATTGAAGCATTTAAAATGTCATTGAAAGTTCTACATACTTTTAGAAAAATACAATTTTCTTTTTATTGATTACTTGAAGTTAAATAAGCTTTCTGTTGGAGTATATATAATATAAACCATTAAAGAGACTCTTATCCAACACCTTAATTTTTTGGATTGAATTGATTCTTTACATGATATTAGAGTCTCGGTGTCACGGGTTCGATCCTCACTGTCGCCCCCTATTTTCTCTTGTGGAATTTTTTAGCATAGGTAGGTAGATTTGTACATTTGTCCACTCTTCAAACCTAATGAACTTTTATGTGAGGGGGTTTGTTGGAATATAATATAAATCATTAAAGAGACCTTAACCCAACAGTTTAAGCTTTTAGGTTGAATTAGTTTTTTACATTTTCATTTTCACTCTTTCAAGTAGAGGTAACTTAAGAGAGAAGTCTCAAGTCTCCAATCCAACCACAGAGGCTAAAGTTGAGTCTTCCGTAACTATTAGGGACAACAAACTAATGCAATATATTATGATGCCACTTATAAACAGTCAAAAGATTAAATAATTTTAAAATCTTCCAAAATAGATAAAACTATAGTCTGAAAATGAAATTCCTTTGAGAATTGAATTCAACTTCAACACACCAAGTTTGATTTATGACTCCCTCACTAGCCAGAGAATCAGATTTGGGTTGAAAAACATAGCACCATAGAAATCAATGTGATCAGAGAAGAATGAACATCAAACCTGATCACCAAAAAAGTCAACCATAGCTGCCATCTTCGGCTGAAGAAGCTGTTTTCCGGTGGAAAGTTCCTGAACTTGACGGAAAGCTTGGCATCCGGTGTACAAAGTGGACAAAATCGCAATGGCCACCAAGTACCTATCATTTTCCAAAATCAAATTCAAGTTCATCATCATCACCACCCCACATGAACATTTTTTTTTTTAGAAAAAAAAAAAACAATTTTGATCAAAACCCATTAATCTTTATCCAAAATTCTCACAAACCCACATCACAAATCGATAAACGGGTGCCCAGATTCCTACCTAAACTCTTCATATTTATCGAAATCCCTCCAATCTCCGTGCTTGTTGCTAGCCATGACAATGAAGGAAATCAGAGAGAAAAGCAGTGCGATCCCTCTCAACCCCAATGACCCTCTCTTCAACAAGTCCTCCCTCTTCCACCGCTGCAGGATTCCGGTGATGCCCACTTCACCGGTCGCCGGCGTCTGGTGGACCTCATTCGGCGCAGAAGCCGCCATTGGCGGAGCCTCAACTTGTATCTGTGGTGATGAATTATCCTCGGAATTCGACATTTTATGTGTCTGTTTTTTCTCCTTCTCTTCGATTTTGCAGGTTTCAGATTCGGGCTTCGACCAATGGAATTGAAAAATAAATAATAATAAGAAGAAGAAACTGAAGTTTGTTGGGTCTTTGTTTTTTGCTGTTATTTTTGTTTGCTTATAACTTCATGTTAAGGTGGCAACATCGGCAAAATCAGTTTAGTCGTTATGGAAGTTAGTGGCGTTTCAGGATAAGAGCCAATGAAAGCGCGTGATGAAACTTGGGATGACGTGGCGTGATTTCATTGGTTGGAAGAGTTTGAAGTACGACATAAACATTGCCAGCTGCTTCTGGATATGATTTGAAAAACAAATGAGAAAGTATAATTTATTATAATAGATTTCACTTTTCTCTCTTGCAAATGTGCAAAAAGTGTGGAATGATTTTTTTTATTTTTTTATGTCTATGATAAAATTTTGCTACTTCAGATTTGGAACTGAAAAGCAACTTGACTTTATGGACTTTAAAAATGGCTTTTTTTTTTAAGGCAAATGAGTCACTCCTATTTCCATAAATGGTAATTCTTTAAATCAGTTATTGAAATTATGGAATTTGATATCTTCACAAATTTTAATTTTTTGAGCCAGTTACGAGTCTCAAGCACAGATTCTCTTCCCACTTTATTTAGACTGTGTTGTCAACTTAACTACATGTATTTGGCTTTTTATTATTTTAGTTTATCTTTCGTTGTACTGAATAATCTAAATATTTTAATAATAATCCATCATTAAAACTTTTTTATAGTATTATTTTGATTGGCATTGGGACCTATATCACTATTAATTATCAATTAGCACTTTATTTATCTCCGCTAAATAATTCGCTGAGTTTCTTAAAAGTAGGGGTGTTAACGGGTCGAGCCAAGCCGGACTTTGATCTTAAAAGGCTAAGTCTGTGTTTAAATGTGTCAGCCTGATTGAGTCTGTTACCTGTTATGAATATAATTATCGGCCCGTGGCCTGTCTTATTTATAAAAAATAAAAGCCTGATTTAGCCTGTTAGCCTTTTTAAAAAAAATAAGATAACAAAAATTTATTCAAACGAAATATATGATCAACATCACTAATAACTTTACAAAGATTCATAAATTCAATGTATCCAAAAATTATAATATAGAACAAAAACATTCAAAAAAATTGTTTAACCAATAAAATGAGGTGAAATGGGTTGAGGAGAGAGAGAGTTATTATGAATAGTATAAAAAATAAAAAATAAAAAAAGTTAGTTTACTAGGCCAGCCTGAAAGACTTTGAGATTGAGCTTTTGAATTAGAGCCTGAGGCCTTTTTATTAAACAAGCTTTTATACAAGTTCAAACCTGGTTCTAACAACCAATTTTAGAAATGTAAGCTCAAGCCTTCACGAGCCGAGTCTAAGGCCCCTGGTTCGTTTAGCACCCCTACTTGAAAGTATGTTTCTTAGACTTGTGCAGTCAAATTTAAAAGTATGCACGGTTGTTAGTATCGCACGATATGCGATACGTATTGTGCGATACGATACAATACACCAAAAAAACGATCCCAATCGCATCCCTGAATCGTTTATGGTCAAAATCGAAACAAAGAATCGTTTAAATCGTACGATCCAGTTGCGAATCGTGAATCGCTACAAATTTGCGATTTAGGTTTAAAAAAAAAAAACCAACGGTCGCTGAAGTTGAAAAGATTAAAAACGTAATCCGAAGAGTTGTTTTGCTTCAGAAAAATTTGGGATTTAAAATTCTATTTGAATCTCATATAATAACAAACAACAAAACTGAGAAAGAACAAAAAGGAAAACAAAACAAAAAACAGAGAGGATGAGAGTTTTTATATAGAAGATCAAGAAGAGGCTTTGAAGGTGGGAGACTCCTCGTTGCAGGGAGTTGAAATCGGAGAAGAAGCGCAGTTGGAGACTCCTCGTTGTAGAGCCAGAGAGTTGAAGGCCGAAGGCTGAAAACAGAGAGTAGAGTATGGTATTCTTTTAAAACTCTTCGGTCTGCACTATTTCAGCTTCTCATCTATAAGAATTTCAGCTTTTCACTATTTCAGCTTTTAAAACTCTTCGATCTTTCAAATATATTAAAATATTACAAAATATCTTTGGGCAGTTGTCGTGTTGTGGCTGTGGGTATGGTAATGTGTCATGTAAATCAGTAAATGTGTAATACATGACTCTCAGAAGAAGCTTTTTAGAATATTAAAAATCTAAGCTTTAGTGGTGTCTTGTCAACTTTGGGTAATGGGTATACGTATACTATTATATTATATTATATATCATTGTCATCTCATTTGTATTGTTGTAAAGCTATTACACTTGCACATCATCAGATATGAACGTGTTGGTTCCCATGTAAAGTGAATAAATTTTTTTGCACATCATCTAAGCTTTGGTTTTTTTTTTTAATTTGGATTTATATTATATTATACATTTTTTAGTTATTTTTAATTTGTTTCCGAATCTTACTGTTCGATACGATTCACGATTCACGATACTAAAAAACAGCCGAACGATTCACGATACGAATTGCGATTCAACAACCTTGAAAGTATGTTCCTTCGAGGATCAGTTTCATCCTTTTTTCGGTAGAGAAGTTTAATGCACTCGTTGTTTCAATTAGGGAGTAACTTTCGCACCGTTCTTTGAGGACAAAGTGACCGGAGAAAATTGAATGAGAATATCTTCTAAGTTATATAAAAAAATAAATATGTCCTTACGTTTACCGAAAAAAAAAAGTATGTCCCTTTCTTTGGGCTCGCATTTTATACAGGCCCATAATTTTATCATAATATATTATTCTAATTTTTATTCTAAATACACAAAACATAAGATAATTAATGAATGCACACCTGATAATAATTTTTATGTTTTCCTGCTCAAGATAAAAATAATATATTAATCGCATTATGAAACTTGTATTAAGATATTATAATTTTTAAAGAATCAATAGTAACATTTTGTTCATTTCTAGTGAATTTTATAATATGTGCATATATAGATGTAGAATGATTTTGGTTTATGATTAAATTTTATTGACTTTGAGGGAGCGTTTGGTATAGGAGAAATTTTTATTTGTCCGAGAATCTTGATTTTTATAAATATGATTTTTACATTCAGTTTACGATAATATCTGAAAATTTAAAATTTTAAAAAATTCAGTTTCCCGAAAATCTGAAAAAAAAAATCCGTGTACCCAACGACTCCTGAAATTAAAATGAAACTTGACTTTAAGCTAAATTACAAATGGTTTCCACGAACAGTTTAGTTTTTCATTATAAAATGTATATGTAACGATTTTTTTTTATTAGAATCGAGGTGATATGTGGAACATTAGATGGAAATGAGAGGACATGTCCTGCATCAAACTGTCCCCAAAGGGATAAATACACCATTAAACACACAGATAAGATACAACTAATACAAGGGTCCACCTTTAATGAACAAAGACAAGGGACCACAAATCATTAACACATATAGTAGAAAATATGGACACGGAACTTCTTTCAACCATAGGTACCCAATGAAAAAACTAAACACCATTACTCATTAAATCCCTACCAGTAAGAGGTAAGAGTGAGGCAATTTTTATAAGTAGTTTTATATTTGCATATTTACAAAGAAATTGTTTTACAAATTTGAACTCAAAAAATAAAAAATAACAAAGGAATTATCGTAAGTCTAAATATGGTCAAAGACAAAGATTTGCATGAAATTGAGGGGACAAACGCCCCCACTAACCCCTTCCTAGCCATCATTGCATCTAGCAAACTCTAGTTTTTTTTCTCACCGGTGAGCGCTTTACCATTTTCTCCAATTCCTCTCCAATAACTAGATGAACAAAGGGTTAATATTGTGATCTTAACCCTTTATTCATGTAGTTACTAAAATAATCAACCATAGAACTTATTTAAGAATTATTACTTTATATTAAGCATAAACATGCAGGATTTATGTTCTGACAATAGTATACTTTTCTTGGCATTGTATTTATTGAGAAGCTAAATGATATATTGTGCTTTCAGCACATGACTGACATGCTTGACAAAATCTAGTTGCTGCTAGCAACAATGGTTTACTTTTATGCTTCACGTCACTCCTAAAACTTCAAACTTTGCTATCGAAATGACTTGGTAAACACTAAAATCTTATTATATCATAATAACTATGCAAATAACAAGCTAGCTTAACTCCATATCCCCATAAAATTTAGCAGAAAAATAAAATACTTGGATGTTTTTTCATCTTATTCAAAAACATTCATCGGCTACACAACCTAGTGAAGCACCAAGAATAGTCCTCCTTCATTTCAATTATCTTGTTTGTTTATCTTCTCAAGTGATCTCGATATCTTCAGTGATTTTAGCTCATCTATCAACTGCATCAACTTGTTGTAAGAGGATCCACCTTTCTCTATAGTTTTCTTGGCAGCATCACCAAGTTTTCTTGCTCTCTTCCTCATTTCTTCGTTCTCTTCTTCTCTTCCCATGAACCGTACCACAGCCTCAGTGATCTCTTCCCTTCTCACCATTGGATCCTCACCAATGCTGAACAAAAACTTGTTTTCTTTTGATCCCACTGGGACTCCAATCTTCAAGACATCAACTAGCAATTTCTCATTGTAAAATTGCTCAGCAAACATAGGCCATGTGATCATTGGCAAACCAGCACTCATGCTTTCAAGAATGGAGTTCCAACCACAATGAGTCACAATTCCTCCTATGGAAGGGTGGTCCAATATGAGCAACTGTGGTGCCCAGTTCCATATGATGTAGCCCTTCTTGCTCTCTTTGATCTTGTGCTCAAACTCTTGCAAGAAACTGTCTCCATCTTCATCTCCATCTATTTTCCTAATTACCAAGATAAAATTATGACCAGAATTTTCAAGCCCATGAGCAAGTTCAAAAAGCTGAGCATGAGGGAGCCGGGTCAGGCTTCCAAAACTTACATATAACACAGACTCATTTTGCTTTGAGTTAAGCCAATTTAGCCACTCTTGCTCTTTTGCAAGTTCACCATTTCCCTTTTCTCTATCTTCCCTGTTAACCCAAGCTGAAACTGGTCCTATACTCCAAGATTTGATGCCCTTTGTGCTCTTATAAAGTTCCTCATAATCACTTTCAAGTTCATGAAAACTATTGTACAGTGCCCCATAGCTTCTGCTCTCAGATTCAAAAACTGCATTAAAAAAGCCTGTGGCAGAACTCTTACTCTTTACCCATTCTTCTAGCTGAAGAGAGGTCATCTCTATGCTATGAGGCAAACCAGGAATTGTAAACTTGTGTGTATCGGAGACTAACCTTTCATGAGGTTTATACTTCCTTACAGAACAACTTGCACAGTTGGAGAAGTAGCTTGAGCTGTAAAAGTAAAGTCTTGGAATACCAAGTCTTGCAGCAGATTCCACAGTCCATGGAAAGTTCATATCGGTCACTATACAATCAGGTTGAAGTTCCTGAAACAGAAGCTCAATTTGATCTTTGAGCATCAATAGTCCATGACTGATTTTGCCTAGCATTTCTAGGGAAGTGCCATCTTTGATGTTTTCAACCCCATCAGGGAGACCAACTTGGGCTGCAGGGAATTGAAGCATATGAGTTGTAATGGGGTATCCAGAATTGAAGTCACTGTCTATGGCTTTTTGGAATGTCAAAGCATTAGCATTGGTAGTGATAATGGTAACACTAACACCATACTTGGCAAATAGCCTTGCTGTGTCTATCATTGGGTTCATATGACCAGGAGTTGGATATGGAAGAAAAATTACATTGAGTTGGTTGTGTTGAGACTCCATGTGCATGGCTATCTCTAGCTTGGTGTCTTCACTCTGCATAGGTATCTTGTCAAGTTAGCAATGGCAAACAAAAGTGAAGGATGAGAGAACAATGACTCCGTATTCAACTATTTGCTGTACTAAAACTGAATTTGTACGCATGTGAGAACAAGGACTCAGCACCATAAAGGAACTAAAGCTCATTTAATAGCTGAACTTCACTCTGCATTGATTTTTTCTTTAGAATGTGTGATGCGAATTGCATGAAACTTAATCTTTTGCATTTGTTTAATATAAATCCTACTTTATATTTACTTTCTGCACGAATATTGGAGGCCAAGATATAAAAAGTTAAACTCTCAAGGGCCCGGGAACTAAAGTAAGAACCCCACATAGCCCAAGATGTGTCCTAGTCAAGCACGCACCTCACAGCTTAATAGTTCGGACCAAAAAACTGAATCAATATATCAGATACCAGCCAATGAGAAAGTTACAAGAAGGTTGCTTGATTGAACAAGCCTGTGACCGTAGTCCATAATTGGTATTTCGTTCACAACATTAGCATCCTGGCTATCATATAAGGAACTAACGGGGCGTTTGACAGAGAAGAAAATTTTTTTAATCAGAAAAATGTAATTACTAGGAAAAGGTGGGAAAATAAGTTTGGTAGAGAAGTTTAAAAGAAGTTGTTTGGTTAATCAAAATATTACTGAAAAAATTGGATAATATTATCACAATTTTCATCCACTTTTTGCTATTTAACCGGTTTTATGGAAATACCACATTCGAAGTGGTCAAATGGCATAGTGCATTTCTTGCTTTTTTGCATACATTTCTCAGTGGTGGGCAACCGAATTTCATGGGTAAATGGGGTCCTCCTTTGGGAACACATGCATTGATTTTCGCTTAGGGTTCTTCCTTGGGAATGACTGCGTGCATCTCTGATAAGATATGTATGTTAAGATATATAGTCCCACATTGGTTGTATGAGCTAACTAATGTGGAGTTTATAAGGCCTTGGGCACTCTCACCCTTTGAGCTAGCTTTTGGGGTGGTGTATCACAAGGTTCTTTACACGGTAACAGAGCCTCGTGTCTCGAGTTCGATCCTCGCCGCCCCCCACTTTCTCTTGTGGAATTTCTTAGCATAGGTAGGCTGGGCCTGTTGCATCATCCACTCTTCAAGCTCAATGGGCTCTCATGTGAGGGGGCGTGTTGAGATATATAAAACCATTGATATAGCCTCGTGTTGAGATATATAGTCTCACATTGGTTGTATAAGCAACTAATGTGGAGTTTATAAGGCCTTGGACACTCCCACCCTTTGAGCTCGCTTTTGGGGTGGTGTATCCCAAGGTTCTTTACAATGTATATATATTTTGCTCAATTATGATATTTGTTATATGATGCCTTGTGTAACATCCTCGTCTCGAGTCGGTTCAATTAACATGCATATGATATAAACAGAAACAGCGGAAGACTTAACTTACGAGATTACGAGCTAACTTTTTCTTTTTCTTTTTAATTCCCATTCGACGTAAACGAAAATCGGACAGAGTTTCCTCTATAAATCGGACAACTGGGGATTTTCCAATCCCACACAAAAGCATTTCCTGATAAACAGTTTATACACCATATCAATTCAGAAATACCAGGTATCCAAATATAATCAAATACCCATCCATGGGCGCATGCATAACTTGGCTCAGTGCCGCTAATCTAACAGCATGCAGTCCAATACATAAACATAACTGAATACTATATCATCATATAACGTTCCTGAATACTCAAATGTACATGCATCAAACTGACAGACATGTACAAAACATATACAGGCCATATACAAAATAAAGGATCAATGTCATGATCCATCAAAGGCGGAAATACAAAATGACATGAATATACTTCCAAAAAGTAGTAGCCTACAGCCACTCAAAATCCGATCCGTCAACTGCCTCAGCCACGTGTCGCGTCCCTGCCTAGTGAGGACTCACCGGGAATCTGGGCACTTGAAAATATGTCCCCAACGAGGGGTGAGATTACAAATCTCAATAAGCTCCAGGTTTATAGAGAATTCTCCATACCCCTGGCTCACTCCTGCATGAAAGTCAGATACAGAGTATACAAATACAACATATAACAGATATCATAACAGAACAGAGCATATATCCATATCATATTAGAGATATGCGCTATCATTCCCAAGGGAGGACCCCAAGCGGAAATCAACGCACGTGTTCCCGAGGGAGGACCCCAAAGCGGAACCAGACATATCAGAGGCGTACACCATCAGTCCCGAGGGAGGACCCCAAAGCGGACATCCGGGTACTATACAATCAATGGCCAAAGATTGTTACAGAAATCATATTACATAAGTCATATCAGAGCAAAACATATCATGTTATCAAATAACTCTATATGAATGCATCTATACAAAGCATCTAAATCACAGTCATACAGTCCAACCATAGTTCACTAACCATGGTGGAGTACTCAAGCAGGAAAAGACTCCTTAAACATAGAGCTTACCTCTTGAAGCTTTACCAATACGCTTACTTGTTGCACAAGTTACTTATATGTCTTCAAGAGATTCCGATCCTTTTTTGTCCCTAGGTACACCTAGAGCAAGAATCCACAAATCCAAAATCAATAAAATGTTATCATGCCTAGATTTTCCATAAGGCATACGTTTTATCGCTTATCTTCCTTTCTTTATATTTTTGCCAATGCTATGCCAATACACAAGTCTAGACCTCTTTATAACCGTTGGTGTTCTTTAATTTAATCAAACATTCCCTTAGGAATTTTCAACATCAATCATGCTATTGTTCTTCAAAACTCATCACTTTATACCATTAATTACAACACATTTTATTTAAAATAAAATGTACAAATATATCCCTAAATACCCTATAGGTCGAATCCTATAAGGGAATTTCCAAAGATCCATCTCTTTTACAATACATTTTCTTTACTTCCTTACAACTTGCAAACACCTAGGCATGCATCCACTAGGTTCCTATTTTGAGTTTAGACACCAAGTCCTTCACACACATCAAGGCTGAAACATCAAGGTATGTTTCCAAGGATTTTCTTTCCAATGTAATATTCTTACTAATTCATCCAAATTCTACTTACTTGAACACATAAAACCCCTCTAAAAGCATCAACTAAATTGGCACAATAAATCCTATTAACCCTATCAAAGGCCGAACATAGAGAGGAAAGACATGATTTTTCTCTAATTTTTACATACTTACAAAGCTTCTTTTCATTTCATACATCAAAATATCGACTATTCCTCATCAATACATATTTTAACACATCATGCTTTCCCACCCAAGGCATACACACAATTTTATAACTTAAATAATCAAAACAACATCATGAAAATAGAGGTTTGTTACCTCAAATCAACTACCCAAAGCCTAGAAGACCTACACCAAGAGAATCTCCATCAAAAACTTCATTTTGCCCTCTTGATGAATAGTGCACGAATTTGGGGGAGAGAAGAACTCACCCAAACTCTCAACAACAGCCCAAATTGATCAGTGGAATGGATTTGTTGGATAGTTTCCAATCGATTTCATGTTATAAACTTTGTATTTTGGTTGAATAATGAAGGAGAAAATCAAAGAAAACAAAACCAAGCCCTAACCCCTTCCCATGAGCTGCTGGTCGGCCATGAAGAGAGAGAAGAAGATGGAACAATTGTGAATAGTATAATTTTGAGTGGAGGGACCTATTTGTATAAGTGACCCTTTTTTACCGGTTGTTTCTTTAACGCGTATTTTACTTAAACTGACCCGAAACTTAACTTAAAGCTACAAACATATTTTTATTTTTTCTAAAATTATTTACATTAATTTTTATTTCCTAAGGAACAATATTCATAAATCACAGTATGGTTTCTGCACCGTTTTTGACGAAATGCACTGTGAACCACTAACTGTACTTTATTTATTTTTGAAACTTAACACTTATAAACTTATCATTTTCTTGGGCCTATATTGACTTGCTTGGCATATATTGGACTTTCTTATTCTTATTTCATCATTTATTTGCTTCTGGGCTCTACCGGTTGCTTAAACAGCAGTACAAAATACCCGGTAGAAACACTATTCACGAGATTTTCACGGAAAGTGCCAGACTATACAATTTTTCGTTCTGAACTCATATTTGATGTCAGAATTGTCAAATTATGTCTCTAAAATCATTTTTAATCATTTAAGCTCTACCGGTTAATTCGCAAAATTGCAAATTCTCCGGCAGAATACACTGTTCATAACATAGTCATGATTACAGTCAAAATACTCGAAATCGCTCACTGAATCTAATTATGGCATTTAAATCCTTAAATTAAATCTCTAATTAAGATTTACCATTTAGGGTCATTATACCTTGTATAATCTGTATCTGACTTTCATGCAGGAGTGAGCCAAGGGTATGGAGAAATCTCTATAAACTTGGAACTTATTAAGATTTGTTATCTCACCCCGTTTTGGGACACCATTTTAGGTGTACAGATTGCCAGCGAGCCTTCACGGGGCAGGGATACGACTTGTGGACATAGTGCATTAGTGGACCGAATATTGGGTAGCAATATGCTACTATTATTTTGGATGTTTATTATCTTGCCTTAGTATTCCATTCGTTTTGAGGATCATAATGTTTGATCTGTATTTTGTATATGGTCTGTATATTTTTTTTACATGTTTTTCGTCTTGATGCATGTACATTTGTGTATTCAGGCATGCTTATATGCTGATATAATATTTAGATATATGTGTGTGTTGGTCATGCATGCTGTTAGACATAGTGGCACAGAGCCAATTTATGCATGAGCCCATGGATGGGTATGTGATCCTTAATGGATATCTGATATTTCTGAAATCATAGAATGTATAAATTGTTTATTAGAATGCCTTGAGAGTAGGATTCTTAAATCCTCATTTGTCTGGTTTACAGCCGTTACCTATAAAGCACCGACACTTCAAAAATCCTAATGTGTCGTGTCTGACA